TATAGAACCGAAGTCCATAAGTCGTAAACAGAGGTCTAGCAATAGTACTGATGTGGTAGCCTGACTACTACCACTTACTATAAACAATAAATATATTTCAATGTTTTATTATTAATTGTTTTGTATTAGTATTTTTATTTTATTCCTCAGACTACTCTCACAGTACCTTTATTTTGACAAAACATGAAATTGTTTGTTTTTGATTTTAAAACCAAAATACGCAATATTTTAAAACTGAATATTACAAGTGTCAACTTTCAAGCCAAATGTTGCAGGTTAACAATTAAAATAAAATAGATTTTAATTATACCAGATTATGTTATATACATATCATTGTTTAATTTGCATTCCTTTGTAAGAAACAAAAAAACAAATATAATATACAATTTATTTTGCTATTTTGGGTAGGTATATATGGTATGTCGACATTAGTTAAGAGGATACACTAATAATATATCTTAATATAGTATCTCTTTAAATTATAAATTAACAATAGTAATTGATAAATTTAGAAAAAATAATATATTTTTAATGTACATTTGATTCTTCATTTTTTTTTCTTGTAGAATAATCAAATTTTTGTCTGTATGCCTATTGACGCAATATCCTATACGACCTACAATATTTGATTTCTATACCTTTATCCACTCACCTGTCACGGTGTGACCAAATTTACCGGTATATCTGTTTTACATTTTGTTTTTCATATTAGATATCTATACAAAGCATGAACCGGTTGTAACCTGTATATTACTTTTTAATCGAATTTTATTTTTCTTCTTGTAAGTTACTTGCTTATATAATTATTTTTATGTTTTCGACACACTGTCACAGCTACATGTCAGGCGTATCCATAGTGTATGCCTACCTAAATTTATTGTTAGTAGTTATTATAATATTGAATTTCAAAGAACAGTAAATAACTAATACGTATAATGTGTATAATATATAATATTATACTTTCTATTCGCCTGCTCTAAAGGAAATATTTTATCAAAATCTAGTTATACAAGTATACCTATACGACCGTCCATGATCCATCCCACTCTAAAAGCAACTAATTAATTAATCGCGTATTTGTTCTATCCTACAGTTTCAAAATCGATATAAAAATTAAAATATATGCCTAATTGGATGAATGAATATTAGAAAGTTTTGAATTTCGGGCCTACGAAAAGGAACTAAAAATAAGATAACCATCATAACCAATATAAATTATTATTATTTATTTATCATATTCTTGTATAATCTATAATTATTAAGTAAATGATTCAATATTTTTATAACTGTATCAACATCAATTAACCTAATCATATTTTCATAACGATTGAACACTTCGAAAATATGACACAACTTTAGGTTAGAAAAAAAATTTTAACATTAAAGTTACTTGAACAATGTAATGTTTCCTCTTTGTTAAGAAGTATATAAACCATACATGGCATGAATAGAAATATTTTAATATTAATTAATAATTATTATACCACAGTAGATAAAACTTACTGAAAATATCTACGTATACCTAAATATAAATAATAATTTAAATACGTAAAAACTACAAATCCGTTCCATTAAATTTGTATAATTTATAGGGCTTGTATTTGTAAACAATTTGTTGGTGTTATTTTTAATTGAAACATACAAATCTCAAGTTGATTATTTTTTTTCTTAAAAAATTAAAACCTTTTGGATTTTTACATTTATTCCGTCTTACTAATACATATAACATTGCAAATTTCACGTCAAGAAGAATATCTGTTTTACTCTGTTTTTTTTATATTTAAAATGAATTTACTTATGATCTAATATAAAGACAAAAATATTATACATGATACCTTGAAACAGCCTTTTTTCTTGATATTTTAATTTTGAACAAATAACTACCTATGAATACCTATTTTTTAAAAAAAATTTCGTTTTTCCTTTTATTGTATTGTATTTCATTCATTAATCAAATTCATTTTAATAGATACATTTCTAGAAAATTATTAAAATGTACATAAATTAAAATAGAAAAATGTAAGCTAATTGTAATTTATAGTAGGTATGTGTACTGGTTATGAATGAGGAATATTTCAGTTAATAATAAAATATTTAAAAATCAGGAATATTATAATAATATATTTATTGTCAAATGTATTGTTCATCTTATTTATTCACTTTTTATATTATGCTATACTACTGATACGATCTCAATAAATTTATCATGTAAATTCCAATAATTGAAATTGAAAGTGTAAGTATAAAATGGTTTTAATCATTTCGTTTTATATTATTTTTTGTTGAATGCGGTATTCAGTATATAGCTGTATACACTTAACTTTACGTTATGTTATGTTTAAATGTCATTAAATGCATGTTTATTGACGAATGATGATTTTGTATTAGTCTCTTAATATATGTTGTTGTACTCCAGGGATTGTAACAAAAGTAGAAAAAGTCTTTCGTAAGTTGAGAAATTCACTGAAGACGCGGCAAAAATAACCATAGGTTTATCTAAGGGGTCGGGGGGCCTAGTCTCTACTGTGTGAATATTAATCCTCCAGAATTATTGTTTCCAATTCTTTCAGGTAAATGCGATTGTGCTTATCATATTGAATTTATTGATGTGGCGAATAACAATACCTATAATACGTAGGTACTATATAATAATAAGTGAAATTAGATATCTCTATTGAACTTAATTGTATAACATCATAATCATGTTTCACATCAGAATAAATAATATCATTTTATATTTTCAGCAGAACGAGGTGGTACTTTTGAGAGGTGAAAAATTGAAAATTCTCAGTAGGTACTTTTCTTAATAACAAACGGAGGGAAAAATGAAGTTAAAAAGGGAATTTTTATGCAATAGATAAAAGTTTTCGACGAAATAGTAATGGTTTTTTTTTGAGAAAGTACCTCAAATACAATTAGCCGTAGATACCTACTATTGCAAAGTTTTACCAAACTTTGTTGTGTTTTTTAACTGTTTTAGACTGTTTTCGCTTGGTCAAAAAGTTGGAAAATTGAATATAAGATAACTAATAAGTGGTCCATATTATAAAATTAAAAAAACATAAATAATACACAGTTACAATTTTTTTGTTTTATTTTTTTTCATAAGAATTTTTCTTATTTTAACTAAGATTTAAAAACTTAATCTAAGATTCCTCATAAGTTTTTCTACATATAAATAAACAACAATTTACTTGAAAATTACATCCATTTTTTATAAGAGTTTGAAGTTCAGATTTTTTTTTGACATTGTAACTTTTCAGTTAACTATTTCTCCTCAATCGATGTTCGAAATTTTGTTGAGAAAACCAAATTTGACAAATTTATTATAATAATAATAATAATGACGTTGACCGGAATACATACTATCAGGCACAAGCACACAACCGTCATACTTATGAAGATCAAAGAACGATGATAAATAATAGTTAAATAAAATAATATAAAATCTAATTCTATTTTTAACAAAAGACCCCTAATAAGCAGTCGACAGACCGCAGTGATCGTAGTCCAGTCATAGTTACTCGTTAGCCGTTATCACCATTTATTAATGTTACAAAAATGAAATCGTGAGTCTATGCTTCTGGGTGAAGACTAATTTTGTGTTTAATTTATTGACAACTACACAGACTCATCACATACAAATAATATTATATAATTTATATAAAAAATATATTAATATTAATTATGTAGCTATCATTGTTAGTGAGAATATTTAGGAATTATGATATAATAGAATATACGTTATTATGCTTCTTATTAGCCACACGTAAGGACTTAAAGTATAGATAGGTACGCTGCGTTTTTCGATTTACATTGATAGAGTGCATATGAGATTCGTCATTGCGGTTTAATTGGCTACGTCTTTTTAGTTTTAAGTCATGTTCATAATATATTAATATATAATTTCTAACTGATAAACGTATGTTTAATTAAGCTTATAAAAAATGTAGGTATATACTTTGCGTGCACAAAAACCTCTATAGATACACATATATATATTTATTAAAGACTATATTGTAGTACCTACCCAAAATCCAAACTTGTTTCGTGTCGTCGTTGTACAAATATCGATTAATTAGAATTCTTAAACAAATTAAATAAATAATATATTGTATTAACTGCAAGAGTTTTATTTTAAATGTTTTTATAATTGGGCATTTATAATATATTATTTTAATAGTAAATAAATAATGAGTGAAGTAAATAATTGTCAACTGTCAATTTTAAATTTTCCTTTACAAAACAATCCTCATTTTGCATGAATCAGCATCAAATATTCACACTCAAATGTCTCAAATAGACTATAGAAATCAAGCTCAAAGTTTTGTTGGTTTTGAGGTAAATAGTGTAGATACGCATTCTCAATTAATAAGTAGATACAATGGTATATCAGAGTAGGTAGTTTATACGTAACAACTGATAAATTATAATACAAAGTGTAAACAACTAATTTTAATATGAAGAAAACATCCTTTTTATAAAGAAACTTGTTCTCGACAAAAAGTTTCAACTAACAATTTAAAGATCAAACATCTCTTATTTTCTAATTTTTCATCAGTTTAATGAAAGGACAAATGTTATAATAACTTCTATGTCATAAAAAAATGTGCAATTCAGATCAAAGAATATAGATATGAACCAAGTTTATTTTCTAACAAGAGTAAATGATTCTTATAAGATTATGATTATACCTTTATGAAATATAAATTCCTGTAAGCAAAATTATAGGTGGATGTATTTAATTTAAGTTTGGCTTATAAAATATTATTGTTCATTATTATAATTTTGCATAGCAATAATTCAGTTTATATGGGCATTATATATTACAATTAATACGAAAATGGTATATGAATGGTCAGTATAAATAATAATCTTGTTGGCAGAGGTACATAATTTCCAAAAATTTATTGTAAAATATAAATTCATAATTATTCGCCAATACACCCGTTAAAAATATATTCAATAAATTATAATTCATAATATTGACGGTAAAAAAATAAAAAATGGTAATACAAAATCTGGAATACTAAAAAAAAAAAACTTAAATAATATTGTTAAACATATACTTTCTTAGTAATTATAAACATGTTTGCTTTTATGTGTAATACTGCAGTGTTGTAAAATATGACTTTTCAGATTTATTGAAATACTGTAAGAGTATAACTTTACAAACAATGTTGTGAATTTAAATTGGTGAGCTGAGACCTATGTTGATTTTTTAATAGTTTCTGAAAAATTATTTTAAGAAATCAGTTGAAAACACTATAATAAACAACAGTTATCCATTTTTTTTTGTATAAATGTCTATGCTATCAAATAGTACAAACAATTAATCCATAAATTGGTAACAATCATTTAAAAATATAAATATTATCAATTTATTAAATTTGAGTATTTGACCAATCATCTAGTTACTTTTAAGTTCACCAGAGGTTCTACAAGGGCTAATATAATTATTTGTGTGCCCAATGAAGCAATACATTTATTGCAAATGTCAGTGACCAAAGATTTAAGCACTAGAAATTAAGGGATCTATGATTTTAATATTTTACAGACTCAATGGTGGCTTGAAGGTAGGTATATCATCTTATTTGAACCATATAATTCAGAAAAACAAAAATATTAGGGTGGTTATCCCACTTTGAAAAGGTTATGAACCTAAATAATTATTTGAATGTCAGTATTACGAAAAAGTTATTAAAAGTTGAATAAATTTAGTGTAGAAATCAACAGAGTGGTTTTAAATCCTAACACTGCAGTTGATTATACATTATACATGATACATCAAATAAATATTAATAGGTAGGTATACTTAATAAGTCAATAATCACTTATTTATAATTCCAAAACCAAAAGCTCATTATCGCCATAAAGTAAGATTAAAAACATAGAATCTCATCCAAAAAGCAAATAATGTACAGATATCTTATTTATACACCTATTTTTTACAATAAACTATATGGTTCGGAACTAAGCTTCTAAATTAGCACTAATAAAAATAAATAAAATAATAACAATATTTTAATATTTAATACTAATAATATATTATTTTGAATACTATATCCACTATTAGACCATTATTGGATGTTATCAAATTTTTGTATATAATAAAATCTGATTTAAAAGCACTACTTCAAAAAAATAATAACAAATTAGGTGAATATTTTGATTTGATGTGAAAATAGCAACTGTACACAAAAGTGCATGATGTAAGATATCTTGTGATATACAATGGTATTGATCATTAAATTAAGGTTTGCAAGATATTATTAGAATTGATATAAATTGAGACAAGCGTGATATAATAAATAAATGTGTGAGTGTTGAAAAATTAGTTCGATCTCTATTCATTATAATAATAATGGATAATTACGCAATAATAAACGACTACTGAGTCTTTCTCTTAATTATATTTTGGTTTCTTCGTTTTTTTTTGCATTTAAAATAATTTGTATACTTATTAATATGATAATTGAAGAACATTAGGTTGACTATACAGAATGGACTCACAGCCTTGAGTGAGAAAGAGGAAGAGTAGCCGAATAAGTATTACGAGAACCAAATTTAAATGTTTACGGCCAGCTGAGGTCTAATAGTTACGGTAGTGTTAACATTTTATTAATGATAAAAATATTGTCATACTTTGTCAATTGTTACCTATGTAGTATGTTTAGTCTTAAATCTTAATACATATTACATAGGTGAGTACAATATACTAGCATTATTCTAGTGTAAAATATAATATTTAAGAATATATTTAAGATGATAAAAAATATATAATTTATAGATTATGGAGTAAATATAAAGTTAATGTACAATAAATACTGTGGCTTATACATTATTGTACCAAAAAAATCCATTAATTTTCCAGAAACATAACAAACACTTAGCGGATGGTTGATACAACGGTGCATACTCCACGAAAGGTGGTTCGATTTTTACTTTGGTAATTTCCGGACATCCATTCGAATCCGTGCAGTCGTTTTGTTCCACGGGTTCCTTTTTCCCCAAATTGCACGGCATACAACTGCCCACTCCACAGGGGGCGATCATTGGATCGCATAACGCAGCATGCACGGACACAATCAATCCTGGTCCTACATTATAATAGCAAAGCGAATTATATAGGTACTTACAATATACATAATACGTTACACCCTAACGAGTAGAGTCAAACCGCTTTCTAATATTGGTTATTAATTTTGGAATTTTAGTCATGTGTAATGCAACACAAGTAGCCTCAGTAAGTAAACATCAGTCTTCCCGATATGAAAATATGGGGCAAAAATGAATGAAATCTATATTATTAATGAGATCATGTTTGAATGCTCTAGATGTAGCACTGTAATATTGTTAGTAAAGAGATGTATTAAAAATTAAAATTAATAAAAACTTTATAAAACTAGTCATAACATCAAGCGTAACAAAATAATATTTTTACAAAACATAAATGCTGTCAAATATTTTGTTTATAGAAACTGTACTATAGGTAACCCACAATAACTGATAAACCACCTTAATAAATAGTAAAACAAAATCACAGTTTGAATATAGAAGTATAATATTTTGACAAATAAATCTTTTTTAAAAAGTTAACAAATTATTATTTTTTGAATTGATGGTGGGATAATTGATAGAATATTTCAGAAATCGAGACTTAGCTAATTCAAACATCGTAAATAGGTACATCTATAGATTCTAAATAGATAGTAATATGTTTTATCGTTAATCTATTTGAATTAATAATAAAAAAATAATTTGAATTGAATAATTGTACAATAAATTAAAAAGAATTTTTGAAATAAAATGTATACCAAACAAATACATGATAGGTATGCGATATTTATAATAGAGACATTATATTATATACTTAGTCTTTACTCAATTTCATTACTAACCTGTGATTAATATAAAAGCCAAAATATATTTGGTGTAATTGTTCATGGTTGAAGTCAGGTAAAGTAATTTAAATTATATTTAATTTTTAAAACAAAATCGTCAAACACAGAATTACATCAGTTGACATCAGCTGTTGGACCATTAATGGAACGAATGTCTGTATGGCCGCAATGCTATAGCGCTAGGGTCAAACCAACTAATTTGGTACTACCGTCTACCTATACTCATATAAAATGAAACTAGAATGTAAACGGCGGTGATAGAAAGGAAATTATTAGGATACATACAAATCGTTTATTGACAAACGACATAGTTATCAAAAAATGTACAAGCATTAAAAATTAAAATTCAGCAGACGTCTACACATTTAAAAAATAATCATATCAAATTATCAATAGTGCATTGTTTACCTGCTAATGGGCAAATAATATATGTTTAATGTTTGTGTATACAATATACATATAGTTTAATATAATATACATAGTCAATAGTCATGTTTCAGGGAATTACAAGGAACATTATCATCGTATAATGCATAGAAGACAGTAATTGTATTATTGTATCCGTTTGTAAATTCAACAAGTATTTCAAGTAGGAAGAGATTGTAAATTCCGCCCGAAATAAACAACTAAAAATTGGGTTTAATAAATTCAGCCCTGAAAATAAATATTTTTAAACTGAACATTCCGAGACTGTACGACGCGATCGTACTCTTCGCGAAACGGCGTGTTATATAGTATTTGGAAGTTCCAAATTTTCGAACAAGGAACAATCGTATCCGAAACAATCGTCAATCATATCATATCTTATCACCTTTGACTATAATATTAAGGACCTAATGATTGAAAAATGTCAGATAAAAATATTATTAATGGCTTGAATCACCTGAGTTTCGCTTAGAATTATAAGATGTTTAAGTTCAGTACTCGTCTTTGAGTTTTATACGCACATATCTATAATGGAAGCTCAATTTATCGAATCAGAACGTGGAAATATACTTTTGGTATTAAACAATTTTAATTTTTTTAAAGCAAATAGACCTTTGGCTTCTGGGTTAACAAAATGGCGATGTATAGTTAAAACGTTCAATGCTTTCGTGAAAACCTTTGGTGAAACTAGTAAACTACAAACATCGCTGAACAAAATATTGATCATAGACAAACTGCAAAATATTTTTTGGGTGGAATTTACATGTACTTTTTTATACCTGTTTTTTTTTGGGCCGAATTTACATGCACCCAGTATCGTATACCATGAACTTTGTACTTTGAACCTTGTACCGATGGTACACAAAAGCGTCAATACGAGATAAGCAACAAAAGAAATCGTATAGTACAAACGTCCCGAAATCCCAGATACCTAACAAATTGGTTATTTGATTATAATAAAGTGTCAGAGTGCTTGTGTTCAAACTATAACTTATAAGTCATAAATCATAATTTAACATTGTCTATAGCATTGGAATTTTGAGTAAAGTAAACCAAAAATTAATTTTATAAAAACAATTACAAATTAAGGCAGTTTATGCATTTTATTTAATGAACAAGAATATAGATATTTAAGATAAATATACAGTGATTACATTTTAGTGATATATACATTGATTAAGTAAATATTTTTTAGAAATTTCAGATGAGGATATTATATGAACTACAAAATATGCAATATTTTATGTTACTCGTTGCTCAGTTCATATTATTTTAATATTAATCATTGATGTCTTATTAAAATTATTATGAAGTGAAAACATACTTATTTATGAATTCCTCTTACTCAAACTTGAAATAAAGGAAACTCGTGAGAACATAAATTTACAATGGTACTTCGAGCTTACCTATTATCTTACTATGTTTGGCAGAAAAGATATATCATTTTTACACTTTTAATGCTTATGTTATAGGGAGGCTCGTACTTGTAACAACTTCTCTTTAATTATTGGATATAAAAGCATCATCTAGGGTAGAGAATTGTTTTCATTATTTTTCGTATAAGATTCAAATAAAATATTAATACAATAATATTAACTTAATGGGATCACAGATTAACGACGCGCGCTCTGGTGCATTAAAAGTTAACAACCTATTCGGATAAAATGTTTCCCACAATTATAGAACTGTTAGATAATAATATTATAAGTAGGTAAATAAGTAGGTACAGCACAAAAACAAGAAAAATAGTTTTAAAATATTACATTAAATTCTTGTTTACCAGTATCAAACGTATATTATTTATGTTTATATATGGGATTGGTTCCTGAGTCAAATTTAGTGTACGAATTGGAACCCGAAAAAAATTACTTATCATTATAATACAACTGTTCGAATTGGTTCCCATAGTGTACTAATCGGTAATCTTATAACCGTTATGATATTTCATTAAGTTGTACAATGCCTAGGAAAGTTCATATATAGAATTTAATATCTAATACATTTCTGTGTCCGAAAAGGAATAAAGTTTATTGGGGAAAATATTAAAAATTGAATGTACTGCCAAATTTCAAACTTAAAATTTGACATTCGTTAAAAATGTATCTTATGAATTCGGGCGCCTGGGAATTGGGCCACATTGTAACTACCTGCTTCATACAAAATATTTGTTTACATTTTACTACCCGGAGTTTGGCCCACAAAGGATTCTTCACCCGCATGTGTAGGTTCGTCTTACCAACGTGCATCATATCAAAAATTGTTTTGTGCGCGAATAGAACCACTCAAGCTGTAGTCCAACCTAAGCAACCAAATTTTCACACTTTAAACAAGAGAACATTTACTGTGCAACATCGTTTTTATTTTTTCCATATAATAAATACAAGAAAAGTTGTTCAAGTTTGAAATAATTTATTTATAAGCAATAAGAACTTTTCTTGTATTTGTGATATCGAAAAAATAAAAACGATTTTGCACAGTAAATGTTCTCTTGTTTATAGTGTGAAAATTTGATTGCTTGGCTTGGACTACAGCTTGAGTGGTTCTATTCGCGCACAATAGTTTTTGATATGTTGTACGTTTCACTCGTTCGTAAGACGGAGGCAACACATGTGGATGTAGCGTCCTCTTAAATCTGTATTTTTAAAGTGTACCCGGAGATTGGGCAGTAAAAGTATAGCACACAAATATACTATTAATATGAATATATAACATTCATTGTAACTATTATTTTTCGTCTAACAAATATAAATACAATTCGTCAAATAATAATTTTTTTTCAAATACTTCCATACAGATTCAACTAATTTAATATAAAACAAGGTTCATACAATTAGTCAAATAATAAATAATATGAAATAATTTTTTTTTTTTTGGATTAAGGCTTCAACTACTAAGGTCATTAGTCTGGTACTGTGTGGAGGGGGGAGGCACGGTTGGTTGAAACACGTTTGTATGTGTGGCAACGATGTGTTGCTAAAAGCCCGGATGGTCACCCATCCGAGTGCTAGCAACGACGGCCGGTACGAACGCTCAGAGCGTTGCCGCAGATTGAGCGTACGACAGCGCCTCACCAAGCCACAAATAATTTTTTTCTAATACATACAAATATAATTATTTTTTTAATAACATGATACAGATTGTACATATTCAAATCGGGTTTTTTCCCTTTCTTCATATTTTTTAATTTCTTTAAGAATAAAATGTTGTCGAACTAAAGTTCGTTTTCTTGTTTTTATTGTTCCTACACTTCTAATCATAAAATATAAATTTCTGATTAAAGTTGCAATAAAACAACAACAAAAATTATGTATATTTGGATATGATATTTTGAAATGTGAATGAAAAGACTACGGCATTTGTAGTTCAAGTTATAGTTTTAGAACGTAACTCCCACATATACGGAGGGAAAAGAGCATCATCACTAATATAAGTGTCAAAAATATAAATGGAAAATGTAGGTATGTATTACAAAATTATAAGTATAAAATTTAAAATTTAATAGTGGCCCGATCTTTGGGTCTATCTTTTATAAATATAAAATTGTAGTGGCCCAATTAGAGTATACTTTTTTTTTAAAGTGGATTGTGGTCCAATTCCAGGTCGCCCGTGAATTAATACCACATTATTTTTTTCTTAATTTCTTAATTATTTTAATTATTTCCGACGTTTGATATCGTTTATATTATTAAATATTGATATTAGTGTTTTATTATTAACTTTGACGAATTCATATACAGCTATATTAGTACTATCGACACTTTTAACCATACCTATGTATTCTAGACTAGTGGTTCCAAACCGGAGGGGGGGAATCCACTCTAGGGAAGGATTTAGTGATGATGAAATAACAAGATATATTTAATTTATAAAATTGAAAACAATAAATTAATTTTTGGACGGTCGCCCATTGATACAATTTTATGAGTATTTTATAAAGAAAAATCTATAACGGAATTCTGGCCATTAATGATAAATTCTTATTCAAAAGTGACAGAAAGAGCTCTCCGTGCATTAATCCCATTTGTATCTAAGTATGTTTGTGAATATGGCTTTTCCACACTTTTGAAAATAAAAAGCAAATAAAGAAATTTATTGGATATGGAAAATATATCATTTTGCGCGTTAGCAACAATATCTCCACGGATTATAGACTTGACGAGGAAATACAATCTCAAATGTCTTATTAAATTTATTCTATCATTCTATCTTCTCCAAAAAAGAAATACAAATTTATGAAATTGTATTTAAAATTATAAAAATAATATTATTAAGTTGATTTATATTTTATTTAAAAAAATAATAAAAATAATGGAATTTTAACTGTCATGTTGATAATAACCCCTTTTATATAATTTTCAATCAACCGTAGGCGGTGTTTTTATTTTTGTTACTTGTCGTTAAGTGTACTACTTATTTGTCGAATTTCCAAATACTTCAATAAATGGATGTTTTTTTCACCTACCATAATGTATTTTACAAGAAGCAGGAATACAAAAAAAAAATACATACAAATCTATATGCCTTACATAATTACTTACTTAATTCATCCAAACATCCATCAATTTAGAGATCATCTACTCCATAAAGAAGAAAGTATTAATACTTTGAAAATTCAGAAGTATGTCACGGGTCAAGAACCACCATCAAAAAATTTTTTTTAAATGAAAGTGAAAATTTAAAAACATATGTACAGATTAAA